GGGGGGGGGGGAGGATTACTTGAGCGATGTATTTGTTTCTCACTCAAATCTATCATAATCCGCCTCGCTCGCTGCAGAACATCCATCATCCAGCTTACATGATTGATTGATACCTTACTTCTATATCAAGACGGTAGGTAGGCAGAAATTTATTATTTTCCTATCATTCTATGGTAGTTATTCATTCTCGATATGAAATATAGATTGGATCGATCAGATGGGTTCTTGGCTTGATTCCTGGGAGTGTCGGGTGGTGGGTGTGAAATGTCTGAGTTTGTCAACTTTTTGGATTTTTGGATGCGGATTTGTGATGTATTCCCCTCTTCCTCTCTTTTTCTTTGAATTGAATTTGAAGCTGAATTTGAATTAATTCTTAAATTCTTTGCACGTCTCATACACAGCACGTGACTGGAGTTATTATTTCCTCCCCTTCCATGCCTCCGCATATCGCCAATCCTGTTTTTCCCTCTTCGCTTTCGCGCATAGCCTCGCGGCTCAGAAGGCAGCAGCAAAAAGAACCCCAGTCTTTCGTTTCGGGGAGTAGGAGGAGGGATGATCCAGATGATCGAAATGCAGGGTTCAGAAGAAAAAAGCTGACACAGAACTTGCGGGGAAAATTGTGGGGGAGAAGGATTTCCCCAGAAAAACTTGACGTTTTTGATTGTGGAAATGATCTTCTTGTTGATCATCGGACTACGATCGGATATTTTGTAACTTTATTGTGAGGGAGGGAAGATGGGCGGATTGTTGAAAGAAGATTGAGAGAGATATGTGAAATATGACGGGGGCACAGAAGCAAGCATGGTTGGAGATATTTATTTACTGGTCGCGACTATGGGACGATTCGATGATGCTTTTCGATCTGGGCCTTGGGTATTTCGAATATCTCGACTTACCTACCTACCCAGCTTCAATCCAGAAAGTAGAAGACGGAATGACGGATCCGAAAAATCATCATCATCGTTCATGCGAAAATAGAAAATGCGTTGGGAGGGCGATGAAGATTAAATCATCACATCACAGGTCGGCAAGCAGCGTTACAACTTACTCTCCTACAGCTAGCTACCCAACCCTCATGGCTGCCCGCCACCAAGCGGATTCTATCTATCTCGAGGCTGTATCCAATTCCACGGGAGCAAGGACATGATGACGATGTCATTGGATTATGATACTGACATTCTCAGATTCGAAAATGTGCTTGATGCCCCAGAATCCTTCGCGGAACGGCCCAGCTGAAAGCCGCACGCTTATCCTACCCGCGCTCCCTCTGACTACGGAATCAAAAAATCCATTACTGTCTGGACAACAGCCGGACTGCTACGAGATGGGTAATAATAGATGGTGACGAGTGAGACAATATCCTATTCACGGCTTCCGGCAGACTCGCACGGTTTCCGGATCGACCCGTCATGGCAATTGACCAGTGTCCGGCGCAACCTTAATGGGGAGCTAGAGACTCGCTGGAAAGAGTCCCTTACAGATGTCTTATCAAACGAATGAGTCTATTGAGAAACATTTCTCTCCCTTGAAGCAGAATCCTGATGTCACCTTTATTTTCCGGGAAATATTGGAAATTCGACGTCCGCCTTCTGGCCTGCTTTCCAGGGTCTTGTCTACAGTCCAACTTCGCGCTCCGCGATTGCATCCTCCTGCCGCCGACGCTTGTCTCAAAAATAGAACAGCTCTTCCATAGACCAACACAGGATAAATACTTACGCGATAGATCATGTGAACGGAATTGCGCCGCCGACGTGATTGATTGCATCTACTTTAGGTACAGAAGACGGCATTCCCACTCAAGAGTCAAGGGTTTTCTGATGGATTGCCATGTGATCTGAGATCTCTTCACTTAGCTGGACGCCCTTCCCGCATAAGTCGTAGTCGTGGAGACGGGTTCATGCTGATGTCACTGTCATGGGAATAGACACACGATGCATTTTTCACCGAACAAAGGGCTTCACCAGCTGGTGTTCCGCAAGGCAGGGCGTTCGGCTGATCCTGGCTTGTACTGTATACTCTGGAGCCCCCGCAACTTTCTCCAGAAGAAGGGGGGAATAAGAGCCGTCCAATCAACATAAAGCCGCATTGGAGTTGGGGCCAAGAGCCCTCCAATCATCGGAATAACCGCCTTTTTCTCGAAGTCAAATCCCATCGTCGGGACAGGGGGACCCCGAATCCTGTCAAAGAGGCGTCCGGAAAAGGCTATCGGTGATTGGCTCATCGCGTAACTCATATAGTGGGACAGGGGTTTAGCAGAGCAACTTCATCTGTATGGCATGGTATGGTATGGTACATGATACAACAACTACGACTTACCTTACTACGTACAGTCCAACTGGTCCAACGCTGGGAATGGGCCGGTGGCTGCTACGGGGCTCCTGCCCTCTGATGCGATTGGTACGAAGAGCCTCGATGCAAGCATTCTCCCGTGACGAGATCCTTCCTCTCCCCCTTCTCCGCACGCCACTGCCAATCTTCGCCCAACGGACGTGTAGTGCGGGCATCGTGTGTGCCCCAGTGCCACCCTGAACTTCTGGAGCATCTGTGGCATGACACCGGCGTCCTTGGGAAACATGGGGATCTGCAGCTGATTTGCATGTCTGCTACCCCGAAGAGGGAGCCCGCGCCGCGCCTGAGGAGGGGGAAAGCCCGAGAGCGTTTCCCTTCCAGAGCCTGACACGGCCAGTCCGATGCTGGCAAAGGGCCTAGGAGCCAAGCCGAGCTGTCAGCAAAGCCGCCGCTGCTGGATTCCTTGCTTTGTTTTCGGCCCATGATCCATCACCAGACCCGGGGGCTAGAGACTCTAGAGTTTAGACGGGCCAGAGGTCCCCAAAGCTGTTGCCTGAGAAGATGATAAAAGTGGAGAATTGAAGAGAGAAGGAGGAGGACAGGGAGACCAGAGCAAACAAAGCTGGGGAAGGTCAGACCTGGAGGCGGGAGGCCCATTCATATATATGGGTCTCTTTCCCCCCCTCGAAGATCAAAGCATGCTGGTTTCACCCCGCGCGTCCTTCCCCAACTTTTTCCTTTGAGTTAGAGACAGTCCGAACGTCCAGCGCCGCCGAAGATGGATGAATCAAAGGCAGTCGGCACTCACGTGGAGTCCGAGAAGATGTGAGCCCTCCTCTTCAGGCGCAATCGTCCTGTTGCTCCAACTGACCCTTCCGCTAACCCATCCCTCGCCAGAAACGAACCCGGACACGATGGTGAGAAGGGCTACCACGCTGAGCATGTCAATCTGAATTCCAACCTGAGCGCAAAGTAAGTCGGGAGATGCTGTACAGTGCCGTCTGAAAGCCGGCCAGCCACACGCCATCAAGAGCCCTGATTGGCCGGGGATCGATGTGGTGTCGGCCGCCCTGATTGTGGCACTTGGTGGCATCTTGTACTGACCAATTGTAGAATCCAGAATCCTCTTGCGGGAATACCCCACGATGTCCTTCTCCGCAATGTCGAGGACTTCGCACGTGAGAAGAACCTCACGGAACACATCCCTCTCCTCCAGAAAGGTGCCCTTGTCGCCCAGGACCCCACCAACTACGAAGACATCACGGGCGAACATGCCTTGGACGAGAAGGAGATTGAAGATCTCCGCAGCGAGGTCCTGCACAAATGGCGTCAGCCGTTGACCTTGTATATTACAATCTTCACTTGCTCGATCGGTGCTGCGGTCCAAGGTTGGGATCAGACTGGTTCCAACGGAGCCAATCTATCCTTCCCCAAAGTTTTCGGCATTGGCTCAGACAGCAATCATGATACTCTTCTCGTTGGTCTTGTCAACTCTGCTCCTTATATCGGCTCCGCCTTTTTTGGTTGCTGGGTGTCTGATCCCTTGAACTTCTACCTGGGTCGCCGTGGTACAATCTTTATTGCTGCAATCTTCTGTTTCCTTCCGGTCATTGGCTCCGCGTTCACACAGACCTGGGTCCAACTCTTCATCTGCCGTCTCTTGCTCGGATTCGGAATGGGCGCCAAGGGGTCTACGATCCCAATCTACGCTGCCGAAAACGCCCCTGCTGCTATTCGCGGTGCTTTGGTCATGTCCTGGCAGTTATGGACCGCCTTCGGTATTTTCCTGGGAACGTGTGCTAACCTCGCCATGGTCCATACCGGAAAGAATGCCTGGAGGTTGCAGCTGGGATCGGCTCTGATCCCCGCTGTGCCTCTAATTCTCTTTGTATTCCTTTGCCCTGAATCGCCACGTTGGTACATGAGTAAGTTTTGCATATCTCGAATCTGCTGGCACGTTCATAGTGGCTGACGCCAAAATCAGAGAAGAACAGATACACCAAGGCATATAAATCACTGTTACGACTCCGCAACAACCCACTCCAGGCCGCCCGTGACCTCTACTACATCCACACTCAGCTCGAAATCGAGAAGGAGATCATCGGCAAAAGCAACTACGTAACCCGCTTCATCCAACTCTTCACTATCCCTCGTGTTCGCCGTGCAACCCTCGCCTCGTTCACGGTCATGATAGCCCAACAGATGTGCGGCATCAACATCATCGCTTTCTACTCCTCCACGATCTTCACGAAGTCTGGCTTTAGCGATTTCCAGGCTCTATTCGCCTCTTTCGGCTTCGGACTCATCAACTTCCTCTTTGCTTTCCCCGCAATTTGGACTATCGACACGTTTGGGCGCCGAGCACTGCTCCTCTTTACGTTCCCAAATATGGCGTGGACCCTCTTGGCTGCTGGTCTTTGTGCGATAATTTCGATAAACTCAAGAGCCCATTTAGGATTGGTGGCCTTATTCATCTACATCTTCGCAATGTTTTACTCCCCTGGCGAAGGTCCTGTGCCATTCGCATACTCCGCTGAAGTTTTCCCACTTTCCCACCGTGAAGTTGGGATGGGCTGGGCTGTCGCGACTTGTTTGTTCTGGGCATGTGTTCTCACGATGTTCTTGCCGCTCATGCTTGAAGCTATGGGTACCACCGTACGTCCCTCCTCTGCCCCCTCCAGTGGTTCCCAACCCAAACCTTTACTAATTCTTTTGAAAAGGGCGTCTTTTGCTTCTATGCAGGCACAAATATTGTAGCATTAATCATGATCTTCCTCTTCGTTCCCGAGACCAAGCAACGCACCCTTGAAGAACTAGACTACATCTTCGCAGTCCCCACACGCACACACATGCGCTACCAAGTCACCAAAGCCCTCCCATATTTCATCAACCGCTGGATCCTACGCCACAAGGACGCCGTCCTCGAACCCCTTTACCACTTCGAAGCACAGGAGAGCGAGCAATCGCGAATCGACGAATTATACGAGAACGATCGTCGCCGTGCGGAACTGCGCAAAGCCAACGGAAGCTCCGACGAGAATATCGAGACGGTGCCAAAAGCTGAGATAGAGGCGGCGGAGATTGATAGCAAGGTTATCAGATAAGATAATACCCCATGATTCCGTTTTTTAATGGTTTCGTTTGAGTTATTTATTGAGTTTGCTGTTGTTTGGTGGAATAATGTGGGGTTTTTGAGGGAGGTGGTATGATGGAAAATTGGCTTGCCGGCCTCATAGGTAGATAGATAGGTGGCCTGGCCTGGCCTGGCCTAGATCTTGGGATCGTAATATAGGTACCTAAGTAGGGAATAATTAGGATGTTTACCTATGCTGTGGTGTGATATATAGATATTTCACGTAATGTATGATGGACGGGGTAAGTAAAAAGGTGGGTTATCTTTTCGATGTTTCATTTCATTTTCATCTCTTCTGGTATCCTACGAACTAAACTTCAAAGAGACGGTGTTACTTGACCTGCGTTGCATACCTACATGATTCCGGGACCAAACAAAACCCTAGAGCAAAAAGCAAACTACTTCTCCTCCAACACGCCATTAATCAAAACACCAACCTTCTCATTATAAAAGCAAGCAAAGCAATGCCTGAATAGCGGCCGATGGTATTCATACTACTAGATTAGATTAGATTTTTGTGTTCTTTGGCGTGGAGAGTGAGTGAGGTTGTAACTTGTAGGGAGTATTGCGCTACGGGTTTGTATGGATGGGATGGATTGGATGGATTGGATGGATATTTAGTGGTTGTGAAAGGAAACAACTCACGGAAGTCCTAGGAAGATAAAAGCGATGCGTCTCCAAAAGCACCATGGGGTTCGAAACATTTCGCTACCTACTGTGACCCCGGCGATCTGGCTGGACTTCTACCTATCTGACGTGACGAAGGGAGGATGGGATGGATGTTCGATCCTCGTGTAGGTATGGATTTCTTTTTTGGATGATCATAGATAGATCTGTTGGGCTTCTTCAAACCAGGCATCTAGATGTTTGAATTCGAATCTGACCAAGCCCTTCATTCAAAGGGCCCTTTTCAAAAAATCATCAGTACCCCGTCGCTGGATTTCGTCCGCCCTTGCACGCTGGCACTGAACGCGGACTCGTCGGCGTGCGTCGATGGCGACGGCCCTTTGCTGAGCACCCCGGCATCTAGATACATGGGGGACTGGGCTACAGACCCAGAACAGTGGGAAATATTGGTTTTCCCAGATGTGGCGGGCCGAGGTGGTAGTCGAAGAGCCATAGGGCGCGTACCCGACGGGGGGTTCGGCTCTACCTTGGGCGGTCCCGAAGTGAGGAGGTTGGTTGCGAGACGCTTGGAGGCTGTGGTATTTCAGGTGATGTGATTTCTTCGGGAGATTAGGTAGGGGGTTTCATTAGGTACTTAGTCGGCCATTTCGGGAAGTCCTTTCTTTGTTGCGCTCGAGATGATGGAATGGCTCTAGAGTCCTCTGATTGATTGGAGTACGGTATGTTGTTGTTCTTGTTCTGGATATACTTCCTACTGCTTCACCACTGTTGGGGGACGGGTTTGTCATCAACGTCGGTCCCCCCGCATTGGCACATTATTGCCAACATGTCCGCGTTATTGAGGTGGAGTGGGAAGTGTAATGACTGGTTGAAAAATCCCTGTAGCTCAGATTGCTGTCTGGGTCCCTCTGAAGGGGGTGGGCAGGAGGATATATGTTAGTTACATTGTGTCTTCTCAAGGCCCGTGTAGGTAGGGTTGTCCCTTACAGGTCTGTTCCCAAGGATATGGAAGAAGAGCCAGCACGACCCTTGACGCCTATGAAAAAGCAAAGAAGATTGACAGCAAAAAAGAAAAGAAAAATAGAACAGTATGGGGAAAAAAGAAAAGAAAACAACTCGCAGCACACAAACTCAGGGTACTTGCCCGCAAGTAAAGGGTAAATAAGGTCAATGAAAGCCACCCGAATCTGACTCCAACCCCATATTGTTCGAGCGCAAAAAGACGGGCTCATATGACCCAGCTCAGGTTTGCTCTCTTCTCTCACTGACAATGGCAAGGCATGGAGCCATATAAATCAAGGCCATGACATGTTGATTGATGATGCATTTGACGAGATGCAGTGCGAAGTCAACGGGGTAAAAGGGAAAAGAGAGTGATTTCCCCACGTGACTCGTCGCGTAGATAATGCCGCCTTGTTCACCGCCCACAACTGGTTTCGAAAGTGGAAAAATACAAACAAATACTTGCCAAAGCCCAAGCTGCTCTCAACGCCATCGAGAAAGCTGATCCTTACCCCTATACCCTGAATATTCAACAGAAGGGATCCCTCATATCTACTAACCTAAAGAACTGACTTCAGCCGTCGCTTGACACACCGTCCACGACCGCCAACATGGCGGCTGTCTTGGACGAAAGTCCGGTGGCAAGCACCGTAGACGTCAAGAGTTGGTACGCCAAGTCGAGGACGCTGTGGATTGATCTCGTCGGTGACTATGCGGGAAAGGAACTGTTCCTCATCGAGGGCGATTCTCTTCTTCGAGAATGCTTCGAAGATAAGAGGATAGATTTTGAGGGTAAATTTCACTCGTCTCCTAATCTCTTTGTCTTCTCCCTGCTGTGCTGGCACGCCTGGATTAATAATTAACCGCCTGGATTCCAATGCCTCTGATCGTTGGCCCATCACCATCGTGATCTGGTTCCAATGCGCTGAACTCAGATTCCACCCACGAGATTCAACATCTCTCCCAAAAACATTTATGCTAATATGTTCAGGTGGCTTTCAACTACTCCACGCAGTATATGCAGTGGAGAAATTCCTAGAAAATCTGGTCAAGAGGCATTGCCAATTCCATGTCGTGTTTTTCGAAGGTAGGTTCCTCCCCATTTCTTGGGCCAAGCCCCTTCTAAGGGGTCATCTAGAAAATGCGAATCTATGTATTCCCAATGGATTGCGACACACTCTCAGATCGCGTTATTTATTGGCTCGAGAAGTCATCAAGCGTCATCTGAGCATCCGTCTGCCATCTTCGCAGCATGATGTGGAGCTCCACACTTTTCCTTCATTGGAAAGTCAGGAATTCAAGGAGTATCTTCATAAATTCCCGATTCACTTTGTCATGTCCCACGACGGGGCACCAATGGCAGGTGAAGGTGACCGGGTACCTGGAGATGAAGAAGCCAAGACTTTGCTCAGGGGGTTGATCTGGTGGTTTAACACCCGTAAGCTAAACGTTGCTTTAATCAACCGAATCGAGTTCAGAGATTCGAAGGTCTTCACGATGATTGTAGAGAGCTTAAGTCTCCCAAGCAGACTTGAGCTCTCGACCAAGCAATTTTTCATACACGAGACTACCGAAACTCGATCGGCATTGGAAAAAATTCAAGAGGATGAAGACGAAGAGGCTGAAGCATCCTTTGGAGATATCAATCTCGAACAACTTTCACTCGCTATAAAGGAAGCGGGATCTAGTGAGAGCTTCTCCCTGGCAGTTTATACCGTGTGCGAGATGTTCAGGCAACAAAGTTGTAATGTGTTTATGGCATCAGCTTTCCTGTTGCACAGTATCATTCTGAGACATATTCCCATCTCACAGAGAAGAATGCCTCTGATAGGTTTTGATCCCATTTTCGAAGAAGGACTCGTTGATTTTCTATCAGTCTTTTCGGCCATATCTCAACATGTTTTGAAAGATCAGACATGGAATGACTTATTGGAAAGCAAGGAAATTGAGTGTGATATCATGGATCTCGTGGACGGGCGATTATTCCGAGTTGTCATCCAAGCCCTGTGCAACGATTCGCTTCAAGGAGTTATGCCCCAACCAGTTCGGAAGGACTGGGAAATTCTCTCACGCCTAGTGAAGCAACTCGTAAATAAGGATCTTTCATTACAAAGAAGTGACGAATTGGAATTCTCAAGAGCCGTCGCGACAGACGATGATTCTAAACCTGTGCCAGAAGAATTAGCAGTCCTGCCATTCTCCAACCCGGTCTTCGACAAGCATTTGGAATGTATTAATATCACTACTGATACCTCGTTTCCAGCCCGAATGAAAGCTATGAAGCCCTACAGGGAGCCGTCGTATTTTCAGAAACACCGAAGACCCCTCACCCAAAAGCAAGCACCAACTCAGACGGTTTCGAAATGGCGGTATGTGGCATAAGCTTGGCGGAACTCTAAAATATATCATTTATCATTGCTAACTCACAATAGGAATCCATTGCGGACAAACCAGTTCTATATGAATGAGATGACCACTTATGCGGCAAGTCTTACTGGGGCGAAGGGCAAAGCTCTCAACGCCGAGACGATCACAGTTGGGCCTAAACAATTGGTGAAAATTGTAGAAGAGAAGCCACCAAGACCGGTGAAATCTGAGAATGGAAATTCCAAATCAAAGAAAGACGATGTCCAGGAGGTACCTACATTTCTAACCTGACTTAGTTGCTTATTGACGATGGAGGCTAACTTATCTATAGTCTAAGAACGCAAAGAAAGGCACCAAGAAGGCCGCTACTGGTCTCTCCAAAAAGCAGCAAATGATCGCAGACAATCTGGAGAGAAAGGGTGGGGCTGAGTCAGATAAGGTTTTCACAGCATGGGCAACAGTATTGAAAGGTCTCGATGCAATTCCAGATGATCAAGAGCGCTATTTGAAGATCGTGGCTTATCTGAACGATCTTGATTCGACCAAAACCTCGTACCTTGAAGGCGACATCAACACTTACATTCTCCAGTCATTGCTCAGTTGGTGGGCTGGTTATTGCAAAGCAAACAAAAAGACCGAAGGGTACCATGTTGTTGCGTTGATATGGACAACTATCCGTACAATATGCACCTCGACTGCGCGAATCTCGAAAGAAGTCATCCAGCATGTCACCAAGATAAGCACGCTCGTGGGCATTACTGATGCCTTGAACACCTTGACCCCGTCTGAGCCCGATCGAAAATTGTCGTTCAACTTTAAATATCCAGCTCAGACGCAGACATTAAAGATAGAGGTTTCGCAGACAGAGTTTCAGCTCAATTACTGTGGACCCTATATGGACCGAATGTTGGATGCGAAGCCCGATCCCAGAGTTTCTAATTTCGTTCCTGATGGTTGGCAGAGAGATGTTCTCGACCAACTTGATGCGAATAAGAGTGTTTTCGTGGTAGCACCAACGTCTGCCGGAAAGACTTTTATCTCCTTCTACGCAATGGAGCAGGTATTGAGAGCGGATAATGATGGTGTTTTGGTTTATATTGCACCGACCAAGGCACTTGTGAATCAGATCGCCGCTGAAGTACAAGGTATGATTCCTATGCCAGATATTTAGGGCTATGCTCACAATTCCAGCTCGATTTTCGAAGAAATATTCACAGCCTGGCAAAGGCGTCTGGGCGATTCACACAAGAGATTATCGAGTCAACAACCCTACTGGGTGTCAGATATTGGTTACGGTTCCCCATATACTCCAGATCATGCTCATGTCTCCGTCAAATGCGAAATCATGGGCACCACGAGTTCGAAGAATTATTTTTGATGAAGTCCATTCGATTGGTCAAGCCGAAGATGGTGTCGTTTGGGAGCAGCTCTTGCTCTTGGCGCCTTGCCCAATTATTGCTCTCTCCGCCACCGTGGGGAATCCAGGAGAATTCAACGACTGGCTTGCCGAGACACAGAAGTCTTCTGGATTTGAACTGAAGATGATCCAGCATTCCACGAGATATTCCGACCTACGCAAATACATGTACGAACCCCCGAAGACCTTCCAATTTGCAGGACTTGGGAAGTCGTACGGTGTCGGATTGGGATTAGATGGCCTACCTGGTTTCGAACCTGTCCATCCAGTCTCCAGCCTTGTAGACAAATCTAGAGGGATGCCGGATGACTTGGCACTTGAGCCGCGAGACTGCCTTTCGTTGTGGAAGGCAATGACTAAGTTTCAGACTGGTGAGTATAAGGTGCCCGAGTCGCTCAATCCCAGCAAGGCACTGCCACCCTGCATCCGGAAAGCAGACATCTTCTCCTGGGAAAGTGGTTTGAAGAAAGTTCTCGCCGAGTGGATGGCAGATAGTCGATCGCCATTTGACAAGACGCTCGCCGAGTTGACTCCCCAGGAGGCGATCGAAGCGCCTGATCAGGATTTATCAACACCTGAGTCTTCTATTACTGATGGAGACGCGATTGATCCTCTTGATCTGAAGGCTACAACATTGCCATTACTCTATCAGTTGCACAAGCGACGTGCGCTTCCCGCAATCCTGTTCCACTATGACCGAAGTGGATGCGAGGATATTGGTTCCACTCTGCTGTCGCAACTGGTTGAGGCCGAGACTCAATGGAAGGAAGGCCCTCAGTGGAAGAAATTGATGGAAGGATATGAAAAGTATCAGGCATTGAAGGAAAAGAAGGCCCGGAAGCCTGCGAAGCCGCCGAAGAAGACAAGCAACGATGACGATGAAGGTGGATCTAAGACTGATCGTATGCGAGATGAGTCTTCTTCAGAAGGGGCCTCAATCTATGATCTATTTGATCCGGAGGCCCCACAGCCAGAATTCAGTTTCGCAAACCGCAAGAATCTCCAGCAAGCCGAGCTTGATAGATTCATCCATCAATTACGTCGGAAACATATCCGGGAAGAATTAATTGACTTGTTGAAGAGGGGCATCGGTATCCATCATTCCGGTATGAATCGAAAATATCGCCAATGTGTCGAAATGCTGTTCCGCAAGGGCTTTTTAAGGGTCGTGGTAGCTACTGGCACCCTGAGTTTGGGTATCAATATGCCCTGTGCCACGGTTGTATTCAATGGTAACTCAACGTTCCTCACTGCCCTGAACTTCCATCAAGCTGCTGGACGATCAGGTCGTCGTGGGTTTGACCTCCTTGGTAATGTAGTTTTCCAGGGGATCCGCAGAGAACGCGCCTATAGGCTTCTCAGTTCTCGACTTCCGGACATGACAGGCCATTTCCCGATTACAACAACATTGGTCCTACGGTTATTAACCCTTTTGCATGAATCTAAGAATGCGCCATACGCTGTCAAGGCGATCGACTCCTTACTTTCGCATCCAAGACTGTATCTTGGCGGTCAGAGCTTCAAAGAGCAGGTTTTGCATCATCTGCGATTCTCTATTGAATACCTTCGCAGGAATGACCTCCTTGGCCCCAGTGGTGAACCGGTGAACTTCACTAACTGTGTCTCACACTTGTACTTCACAGAAAACTCAAGTTTTGCTTTCCACGGTATGCCGTTCCTCGAGAAATCTTATGTTGCTTCCAACTAACCTGTATAGCTCTTCTCAAGAGTGGTTACTTCCACAATTTGTGCGCCAATATTGATCAGAAGACGGATACCGTACTGAAGAAAATGATGCTCGTCCTCAGTCACTTATTTGGACGACTTGGGTGCAAACAGGCTGATACCGAGGAACAAGCCGAGGTTATTAGGCGCTCCCCGTCTATGGTCTACCTTCCACCAATGCCAGAAGATGCGGCCGATATTCTGCGGAATCATAACCAAGAGACATTGGAAATTTTTGCAAGCTATGTCAAGACATTCGCAACCCAGAATGTCAAGGAAGAAGAAAATCGTCTTCCATTCACTAGAACGCCAGTTGGATCCGCGGAGGGAATCGACGCGAAACCAGTCAATAATCATGCATCTGCCAATGGCCACGCTGAAGTTGATGAGAACAAAAGTTCGAACAAAAATTCTGCAACCGCTAATTTTCTCCCCAGTCTTCCGAGACCACATGCACGATCTGCATTCGTTGCGCTTTCAGGCTTGGGAGACAACTTTACTACTATTAAGGACCTTTGCAGCTCGACTCGAGAAGGCATATTTCTCGAATCGGCAGTCATCCCCCATCTTGAATTCTATCCCGATGAGGCTCGGCATCCTCTCAATGCCTATCTCCTGGATTTCTACATTCATGGATCACTAGAACCATTGGAGACAGCGAATGGAATTGGGAAATCAGAAGTCAGTGACCTTTTCTCCCATCCCCCACTAACGAATATTTCTAACATTTGTCATAGGTTTGGTTTGTCCTCAATGATTTCTCTCTTATTCTCGCCACTATTGTTAACAGTCTCGCCCTCTATCTCGGTCTGGGCTCTGACGGAGACCCCGAAATGCTGGAAGTGATGGGCAGTGGAGATGCAGCTGAGAATGACGGCGACGAGGAGATGGCAGCTGCCAGCGTTCCCGAACCTGTGGCCACTACCACGCCTGCCTCTAGACAACAGGCCCCCGTGGTCAGAAAAGGCAAGAAAGTTGTCGATGACTGGGATGCTGGCGAAGACGCTCTGGTCGAAGAAGAAAATTATCTGAAAAATGGAAGTGTGGGAGGAACCGGCGCCACGGATGATGAGGAGTATGACAAATTGATGAATGTCTACAAGGCGTTTAGGAAGCTAAAGACAGAGTTCGATGCTAAATTCTTGGATATCTGGGCCTAATTTGGAAAGGATCTGTAACGTGGGTGAAAGGTTCTGTGTGGATGGATTTCATGATGGGACGTGGCTCTTGAAAAAGCTTTTGTGGATTATGGGTTCTTTGTTCTCGATATGATGTGCTTGGATAGATGCATAGATGAGTAGACGAGAAATGCTTATTTATGTACAGGAAATCAAAATACCGATAGTGAAAGTGCAATTGACTATTGCGTTTAGTTTTTGGCTGCTTTCCTCGATTCATCATGTTTGACGTCTCCTTGCCAACCTTAGGTATACCACCTCAAGGCCTGGGAGGTGATGTCACGTGATATTCGATACAAATTTCAAGTTCGCCTCAGCTGTTCGGCGCCGTAGTGCCCTATGGTGCCCTACGGGTATACGTATTCAGACTCCTCTTGGGAGATACACTGGAGCTTTCCAACGATGGACATTGTGCTGAATAGGTATTATTTGCTGAACTGAGTCATGCGGAGCGGTATATAAGTAGGGGTATCACATGATGTCACATGACGTCAGTCACGTGGACTAGGTTAGAACCAGCCACACCTTTTTATGTACACGTATATATATAGCATTCTATACCCTCTATAATCCTTTAATTAATCTAAATATATTTAACATAACCCTACTATTAGATCTACCTTTTAACAGGTTATAAGCCCGGCTAGGCGCATTCCTCTACTATTTATAACTAACTAGCTAAGTTATCTAGATCAAAAGAACGTAGATCTAAGTACTAACCTAATAAATAACTATAGATAAGAAGGTATTAAAGTTAAGGACTACTAAACCGGAACAGATATAGTAACTATTTACTAAAGTCTTAGCGTATACCTAAAAAGGTCTTTCTACTTTAGAAGGGTACTAAGGCGATTAGCTTACAGATTCCTAACCTAACCTCTTGTTAAGTAAAGTACTAAGTAGTAAGGAAGACTGATAGCCTATTTCGGTAAGGTAACGGAAATAGCGAGGTTAGGACTAACTATTGTAAATTTCTATAAGCTTACTAGCTACTAAATTTTTGTATTTTTAGATACTAACACTAACTACCTAAATTATTAAAACACAAGCTATAAATATAGATAATTCTTATTACTTAGAAGGCTAACCTTAGAAGAGAATTAAACTTACTAAAGAAGTACTTTAAGAACTCTAGCGCTATTATCCTTAAGGCCGATAGGCTTACCTTATCTAAATCTAAAACTTTACGCGTTACTAGCCTTACCTTTATTAAGAACTACTTAAATAATAAAGGAAAGGACTAGACTTAAAAACACTATATAGTCTAAGTACTTTAAACGTAGTAAGTAAAGTACCTATTAGTTAAGCTAATACTATTAACTTAATTCTACCTTTACTAAGCTATTACGATCTCTTTAGCTAAGAAGCCTAAGCCCCTCTAGACTCTAAGTCGCTATGTTAGACACTAAATTAAAGTTACTCTTCTTATACTAGGTCCTAATCCTCGAATCTAACAACTAGGCAGAATTTAACAAAAGGGCAAGAGAATAGCTTACCCTTACTAGATACGACAATATCCTTAAAAACGATAAGCTAGAACAAGAAGGTAAAGAAAGTAACGCTACCTTCTAGAAAAGGCTTAAAGCCTATAAGTCTTGTATAAAGAGAGCCTGTACTACTCTCTAGAGTCGCTATAGTACGTACGCCTATACCCTAGTAGAGTTCGACAATAAGGTATTAGTAATTCTTAACAAACTAGCGAATACTTTTAAAGCCTAAGGAAACAGTACTCTTATTAACTTAACCCTAAAATTCTAGACTCTTAGACTATAAGACTATAAGTCTGTTACTAAATATGTAAAAGCCTTTAGGTAAATTAACTTTAACTTAGTAAGAATTAATACTAATACTGTAATGTCGGATTTTTATATAGTTATAAAATTTATATATAGACTTAACTCTTTATATAATAACTACGTTATAGACTTCTAGAGAAATCGTGTCTTCCTTTAAGAAAAAGACTCTATAGACCTATACCTAAAGGTTGTTTCCTTTAATAAGCTAGTTACAAAGATATTAATAAAAGAAACAGCTATAAAACTAGACGACGACAAGGCGATAATAGCTATAGTAGTGACCTATAATATAGCGGTACTAGCGACTACTATAGAATAAAGTAACAAGAAGTTAGTAGACTACTATACTTATTATAATATAACTAGATACATAATTAATTACTGTTTCTATAAACACCTTAACCTAGTACTAAAGGGATAGAAACTAAGGGCTAAGAAAGGAAAAATAAGCGACAAGAAAGGAAAACTAAATAGAAAAGGTAATAAGAAGCGACGATTTAATAATAATAGTAATAATAATAATAAGAACACTATTATTATAGCTATTAGCGTTACGTTACCCGTACTTACTACTAAAGAACTAATAAACAGTTTCTTATTAGATTCTGCTTACTTAAACTATATAACCTAGAGGCAAGATCTGTTTATTAACTTTAAAGAGTTTAGAACACTACTAGTACTAATTAAAGGCATTAGTAGTGTTAAAGTTATACTAATAAGAAAAGGTACTATCTACGTTACTATAAAGGGTAAGCTCCTTTACCTAAATAAGGTCTACTTAGTACTAGATATAAGAGTTAACCTAATCTTAACTAGTTAACTTAAAGAAAAGAGATACGCTATAAGATAAGGGACTAGTAATAGAATTAGAAATAGAATATCCTTTACTATTAAGGGCTATACATTTACCTTAACCTAAAAGAACTATATCTATCTACTAGACCTTTAAAAACCTTACCTTAGAAAGCTAAACAAAACTATCTTAACTACTTTAACCTAGGTTACTACATATAGTGTAGTAGTCGACCTAAAATACTTCTTTTAGTATAACCGGATAGGTTACTTAAGAGAAGTAAATATTAAACGACTTTTATAAGTAGCTTATAAGGTTAACTTTAACTACTTATAGAACGACAAGTGTACTTATAAGAGTTGTATACTTACTAAGATAACTACTAAACTATACAACTACCTAATTAAACTAAGAGAGTACCTAATAGACCTAATATACTTTAACCTTATAAGACTAATACTATTTACTAGTATAAATAAGGAAAGATATTTTAGGTATACTTACTATAATAAGACTAAGTATAGGTCTACTAAAACACTTAGAAACAAAAGTTAAGCTTTTAAGTTCTTTCTTAAATTTAAAGCCGCGTATAAGTAGGTAGGACAGAAAATTAGGTATATTAGGTATAATAAGAGAGAGCTTACTTTACTTAGGAAATTTAAGGATTACTATTTATAAAATAGTATTAAGATTAAACCGACTGTACTATATAACCCCTTATAGAATAAAGGCGCTAAACGATATAGACAGACACTATAGCTATAGACTAAGGCTACCTTATACTAATTAGGTCTCCTTGTTAATTAATAAGGTAAGGTCTTACAAGCCTGTCTATACTTACTAAACAAGAGTCTGTATAGTACCCTAGACTATAAGACCCTGTTTAAAGCGCTAAACTACTACAAACTAGACCTACAGAACATCTGTATCCTTAGCTCTACTGTCTATAACCTTATTAGTAGACAGAAGAGAAAACTCTATAACTACGTAGTTAAGGGCCGTCTAATTAGCTTTAATAGTAAGATAGTTTATTGTATTCTCTTACCTAACAGACAGGTTATATATAGTAGTAATGTTTATATTAACAAGTAACCGCCTCTAGACTCTTAGTACTATATAGTAGGTATTACTAAACTTAACCCTAAAACCTAGGATTAACCTCTAACTATTCTTAAGGTACTTAATCTATAACTAGACATAAAACCCTTAGACTAGACACCTCTAATAACTACGTAACTTACTTACCCTTTTCTAAGTAAATACTAAGAAATAGCCGACACTTACTTTAATTATAGTAGTAAGCTTAAGCTCTTAGTTACAACTCTAGTCTACGCTATATATACCTTCTTAGTACAAACGGACTTAACAGAACCCTTTAAGCCAAAAACCTAGAAACAAGCTATTAATAGTAGAAGCTAGAACATATAGAAACTAGTAGCCTAAGAAGAGTACGTATTACTAATAGAGAATAATACTTAGAAACTCGTGTTACTGTCTAAAGACAGGCGTATCCTAAGAGGTAAGTAGGTCTAGAAACTAAAACAAGGACTATAAGGTAAAGTCGTCTAGTACAAAGCCTAATAGGTTATAAGAGGCTTTAAGTAGTAAGAAGGAAAAGACTATTTTAAGACATTCGCGACTATAGTTAAACTAATAAGCTATAAAGCTCTCTTTATAATCGTAGTAGCCTAGGACTAAGAGATTAAGTAGATAGATGTTAAGATTACTTTTCTCTATAAGGATATTAACATTAATATCTTTATTAAGTAACTAAAGGGTTTCTAGGACAGATTAGATCGCGTCTACTATCTTGTTAAGATACTCTATAGTCTAAAACAAGCCCCTTAGGTATAGTATTAGACACTTACTAGCTTCTTAAAAAGCCTTAAGTATCGCCCTCTTAACTCTAATATAAGCGTCTTTTAGGGTAACAGTATTATAGTTACGATCTATGTTAATAATCTACTATTAGCTAGACCTAAGAAGGCTAAGATCTAGGAACTTAAAAACGTACTAAGTACTTGTTTTAAAATAAGTAATCTAAGCCCTTATAGCTTTTATCTTAGAATGTAGGTAACTTACGACAGACAAAACCGGGTTCTTAAGTTAAGTTAGAAAGGCTACCTAGAGAAGGTCTTTAAGGATTTTAGTATAAGTAACGTAAAGCCGTAGTTAATACTTATAGAAACATTACTAAAAAAGATAGTCCTAGTAGAAGCCTCTTATAAGGCTAACCCTACTTTTTACCGCTAATACTAATCTACTATTAGCTCTCTAATATACGCTATACTTAAAACACGACTAGATATTATATACGCCGTATTAGTAGTTAGCCGCTATTCCTTAAATCTAACTAAGAACTACTAGTTAGTAGTTAAGCGTATTTTTAGATATCTCTATAGAACTCTTAACCTTTAACTTACGTTTAAAGGGAAACTCTTACTACTAGTTAGCTATACTAACGTAGACTAGGCTAGGGACTATAGTACTTAATAGTTAATATCTAGGTATATATTTAACATTAAGAGTAAAGTAATTAGTTAGTCCTCTAAGCGCTAGGCTACTGTCTCTCTATCCTCTTACAAGTCTAAGTATATTAGGTAGACTACTTCTATTAAGGAAGTTATCTAGCTAAAAGGTTTTCTTACCTAAATTAACAAAGACTACTTTAGGGTACTTGTTGCTATAGTTATCTATAGTAATAACTAAGGGGCTATTACCCTTATAAAGAACCCTTAGTTCTATATGTAGACAAAACACATTAATATCACTTATTACTTTAAAAGAGAAAAAGTGTAAGAAGGGGCTGTTGTATTATAATACGTTCTAATAGACTAACAAGTCGTAGATAGTCTTACTAAACTACTGTACTATAACAAGTTCCTTACCTTTTGCCGGCTAATTAGAGTAGTCTAGTTTATATAAAAGACTTTGTATATAAAAACAAAGACCTCTATCTGACTTAATAACCTTAAGAACCCCTAGCCCCTTGTTTTTAGGACGATTAACTACGCGGGCATAGAGCTATAAGGTTAGAAAACAAAAAAGGGAAGGAGGGCTAGAAAAATCTTATAACTAGATTAACTAAGCGAGCTAGAAAGGGATCTGCCCTTATATATCTAGGTACCTACCTCTCTAAACTAATTACTACTTTATTCTCGGTTACTAAACGTAATAACTATACATCCTAACTATAGAACACTATTAAGACAATAAGTCCTTAATATCTTACTATAAAACTAGTACATTCTACTATTAGAAGAGCTTATAGACGACTTTATATTTAGCGACATTTAGAGATACTTATAGCTAATTAGAGTAAGTTTTAAATACTATAAACTAGATTATTATTTAAGTAGTAGAAATACGCTATAGCTACTACATACTTACTTAATAGCATTTGTAAACGTAGCTAAAAAAAAAAACTAGAAACAGGTCTCTAACATATATAACTTTAGGTACTTTTTAGATCTATAGAAAGAACGCCTAGAGTAGTAGACTAATTAGATAGGTTTCTTCTATATACAGACTAAGTCTTAGGTTAGAAACCCTAACTAGGCTAATATACTATTCTATGTATAGGCTGTAATAGTCTAACGCCTTAACTAAGGAGGTTTTAGGATCGTTATATACAACTATAACGTATAGATAACCGGACTAGTACATATCCGCGGCCTCTTTAGAATATAGTAGAAGTTTATTAACTACTATATTAAAAGTAGAAACATTTAAGTAAGTAAAGTCTAGACAATTAGTAAACTAGAAGGAAATCCGGACAAAAAATGTCTTAAGCTAACTAGTCGCTAGTTAAAGAGCTTTATCTAGACCTAAGAGAACTAGCCCTAAAATAAGAGTAAAATAAAAGAAACAGTAATTCGAGTCTCCTTAAAATAGTAGAAGAAAAGAAAGTAAGGAGACTAACATACTTTACTTACTAGATACTACTTACTATTACTACAAAGCTAGACCCTAGTAAGTTAAGGATCCTTTATAAAACGTAAACAGAATAAAGACAAAACAAAAGACCTACCTAGAGACGAACATGTAAGAGGATCTAAGATAGAGGACAGTCGACTTAACGCGCCTTTTAAAGAAACCTTAATGTAACTATAAGGAGAACTTAAGGCTACTAAAGGGATGACTAGATTTAAAGAAACAAGGATATTAGGGTAAAGAAGGGGCTACTATACCGACTCTTTCCTAACTACCCTCTTTTTCTTACTAAGTTTTAGAGGGGTTAGGTTTTATTAAAAGGTGTTGTCGTAGCTCTAAGTAAGAGTACTAAACTAAGTTATATAGAGCGGTATATAAGTAGGGGTATTATATAATGTTATATAACGTTAGTCACGTAGACTAGGTCAGAACTAGCTATACCTTTTTATGTACACGTATATATATAGTATTCTATACCCTCTGTAATCCTTTAATTAATCTAAATATATTCAACATAACCCTACTATTAGATCCACCTTTCAACATTATTGCTGTCGGGTTCCTTTCATTTGGTCGTCGCCAACCCAACTGTTCCGCGCTGCCCTGGCTGCTCGCTTAATTGGCGGGGCCGAAAAGTGCGCACACAACTTTGAAAATATCTCGCCCGATCTCGAGTTGAACTCTTCAACCACACGACAACATCGACAATTCCAGCAATAGTGCGGCCAATCATTCAAGATGGTAAGTCACTCTCGCACTTGCATCCGCCGCTGGATAGCAGAGGCCGTTTGCGCCCGTCTGCTCTAAGAACTTGCGCAACATGCTCCGAAATGGGCAAATCGCAAATGATGGAGTCTATAGCAAGAAGTTCGGAGCTGCTTTCTGAAATGCCAATTGCTGACTCGAGGATGCTCTACTAGCCTTTCACCAAGCTGGTCAAGAACTCCGCGTACTACAGGTGAGTTTCCCAAGTACCTGCCTTTTCCTCGACGCGTTCTAAACATTCGCAGTCGCTACCAGACTAAGTACAAGCGCCGTCGTGAGGGAAAGACCGACTACTATGCCCGTAAGCGTCTCATCACCCAGGCCAAGAACAAGTACAATGCGCCCAAGTACCGCCTCGTCGTCCGTTTCACCAACCGCGACATCGTCATGCAGATCGTGACCTCCGAGATCACTGGCGACAAGGTCTTCTGCGCTGCCTACGCCCACGAGCTCAAGGCCTACGGCATCGAGCACGGTCTTACCAACTGGGCTGCCGCCTACTGCACTGGTCTCCTGATCGCCCGCCGTGTCCTCGTCAAGCTCGGCATGGACAAGGAGTTCGAGGGTGTTGAGGAGGCTGATGGAGAGTACAAGCTCACCGAGGCTTCTGAGGGTGAGGGCCGACGCCCATTCAAGGCTTTCCTTGATGTCGGTCTCCACCGCACATCCACTGGTGCCCGTATCTTCGGTGCCATGAAGGGTGCTTCCGACGGAGGCATTCTCATCCCCCACTCCGAGAACCGATTCCCTGGTTACGATATCGAGACCAAGGAGCTCGACGCCGAGACCCTCCGCAAATACATCTTCGGTGGCCACGTCGCTGAGTACATGGAGACTCTTGCCGATGATGATGAGGAGCGATACAAGTCCCAATTCCAGGGCTACATCGACGACGAGATCGAGGCTGATGGATTGGAGGAGCTGTACCAGGAGGCACACAAGCAGATCCGTGCCGACCCCTTCAAGAAGGTCGAGGGTGCTGCTGAGAAGAAGTCCAAGGAGGAGTGGAAGAAGGAGTCGCTCAAGTACAAGGGCCGCAAGTTGACCAAGGAGGAGAAGATCGAGAGGGTCAAGGCCAAGATTGCGGAACTCAAGGCATAAGCGCTTGTCTTTCGTGGATCTTCTTTGCACTTCAAAAATGGCTCTGGGTCGGGGTTATGGGATATGGCATCATGAGGAGTTCTGATCAATCGTCAGGAAGTTTAGTAATGCCAAACAATGATTCCCAAAAGAAGACGTGCATAAGGTAGTTGTTGAAGCGTGATGGTCTCTGCTGTTAGCCTACCTTCCTACTGGTTCCCGTGTCCCTGCAGCACCCTGAAAACGGAGAAAACTGCTTTTCCCCCCTCACTAGCCCTGCTCATGCCATGCCCACTTCTTGCTACACCGCTCATCCAATCATCAATGGCGTAGACTCAATGTCCCGCTCTGCCGTTAAAAAGGGACATCTAGGGGTCTCCCAGACGAACGCTGATTTGCCGAGGGAGTCGCGCTGTTTATCGGCGGAGCGACTCGGCTACTCTAGCGACTCCCACTTCCTTGTCGACGGATATCTGCAGCCAGGACCGACGTCAGTCCAGGACCTCTCCCACCCACACAACAGAAGACTACTACAACTGCACGGCACTGCACTGTACTGCATTCTGCAACTTAACAACCCTTTTCAACTCACTCCACTCTGCCGCCAGTGGTACCTCGACCGTTGCAATTTATCTCGCACTGAGAATTCTCTCTTTCTTGACAACGTGCTACAATCTCTGTCCCTGTCATCTATTACGGTCAACGGTCAACCGCATTCGTCTGTGGCACTCAACCATGTCTCTCTCCCACGCCTGATAGAAGCCCCGTCGACTGCCCGCTCATGTCGTAGTCGTTCTGGGTTTCTCCTCTCGCCGGCATCATCCTGTCTCGACAGTCTGTCGGCACGCATCCATTGTCTCTCGAAAGGTCTGGTCCTGCGATGGAGTCTGTACATGGCGTGGATGTATCGTGGATGGCACACAGTTCAAATAGCTCACAGAAAGGTAAGCGGCATGGGGGAGATGCAGGGATCGCGTCGCTCAACGATCTGTGCAACGCTTCATACACTTCTCTTTGTCTCTACAATTACTCAATTCGCATGCGATACTAACAAAGAACGAAACAATACAGATCATCATTCCCGTCCTCAGGCCCCTCCCCACCCGGCGTCCCCAGAGAAGCCGGCCTCAGCCCACAATGGCGACCACCCCCAACCAAAGGAGCCGGCGACGCCGTCTTCGAAACCTACACCGAATCGACCTGGATTTACAAGGACTAGCTCTACAGAGAAGACCGCAACCTTGAATGGAGGATCAAAACCTGTCGTGTCCCCGCCTACCCGGCGAAATTCCTGGCTTTCGAGCATCTCATCCAGATTCTCATCTCCAGGACAACACGGCCACAGTTCTCCAACTAGCAGCCCCCAAGGATCATCGCCAGATCTAACACAGGAACCGCCTGTGCCTACGGGGCCCTATTCTCCGAAAAATGCCATCCTGCCACATGCGACAAAAGGCGCTGGCGATGAGCCCTATATCCCCGCGCCGCCGAAATCGGGACAGACGAATTTCCTGCAGAGTGCTTTACGGAGGCTTTCGTCCTCATCCTCGTCGCATAGTGGACACCTAGCTAATGCGGCCAAAGGCGTCCAACACGGATTGTGCGAGCGGAGGGTACTGAATGTCGACCGCAATCGCGAGCGATGTAGGATTTCGGAGCTTGATCAGTCGAAACTGAGGCGGGTCGCATTCTGTGTAGATGTCGAAGTCGCAAGTGGGCCGAGATATACAGAGGATGTGACGGAAAGCCTAGAAGACACGAAAGAGAAGAGAGATCTGAAGCGGATGACGGAAAAGGGAGAGGGTGTGGCGTTGAAACATCCGGAAGCTGTAAAAAACGAGAAAGAAGAGGCTGATGCTAGCAAGGGCGCTGGAGAGCAATCGTCTAGGGAAACGATGAAAGAAACCTCTAAGATTACAGCAGAAGCGAAGGATAGCGTCCCTACCGCCGAGAAGGATATGACCAAGAAGAAGGAAAAGAAGAAGCGTAGTGAAGAAGAGAGGAAAGCACGAAAAGAGAAGAAACGGAGGATGGCCGAAGAAAACGGGACTCTACCGGTTGAGCTCATCAGAGAAGATGAAGATGAAAGTACATCCACCAGCAGTACTCCAGCACCGGGAACGCCAAGAAGCCAATTGGCTCCGACAACAGATCCAGTGCGAATATACAGACGCTGCTGTCAACTGCGAGAGACTCCGGTATTAAAGAGGATCATCGAGGAGCTAACTGCGTCATGCTCCACGATCGGACAACCTGGCGTTATCAGCAAGTTGGACCTGACAGGTTATTGGCTTGAACTGTCTGACTTTATCACCTTGGGAGACTACTTAGCTGTAGTACCAGTGAAGGAATTAGTACTGGAGAATTGTGGCTTGACTGATGAAGGTGTTCGGGTCGTGCTTGCTGGCCTGCTCGCTGCAAAACCTACGGATTATCCAACTAGAAGGCGACGCAAGTTTGGCCATGATGGCGAAGTCCGGCAGGGTGGAATTGTAGAGCGGCTGGTTCTCAAGAACAACGTCAAGATTGGACGAGATGGCTGGCGGCACATTTGTCTTTTTATCAACATGTGTCGGTCGCTCAAATCGCTTGACCTATCAAATGTTCCCTTTCCCCAGTCACCTCCGCAATCACCTTCACATGGCCAATCTTCAGCCAGCCCTCTCAGCCGCACAACTAGCTCCTCTAAGGCTAGTGGTGAGCTATCAAGCCTTCTCTCCAAAGCTATATCGGAGCGATTAGCGGGGAAGGAACTTGAACTGTTGAATGTCTCCAAATGTGGCTTTACTACTCAGCAGCTGGGTGACCTCGTGGATGGGATTATCAAGTCAGGCTTACGCCGTCTTGGCCTTGCAGGTAACAAGATCTCTCCAGAAGGGATGAATCACGTTGCCCGCTACATCCGGGAAGGCAGCTGCGAAGGCCTGGATCTTGGTGGTAACGACCTGGCGGACCAGCTGGGGACGATCGCCGACGCCCTGAATGAAGGCAGCAATCTCTATGCTCTGAGTCTTGCTGACTGCAACCTCAACCCGGAATCGCTATGGGCGTTATTTCCTGCTCTGACAAGGCTGGAGAACTTCCGGTTCATTGATCTATCACAAAACCATGCCTTGTTCGATACCGACCCCAGTGCGTTGTCATTGCTTCGCAGGTATGTAGTGTTTAATTCTTCGTATTCTCAAAGCAGGATCTTGTTCTCATTTGTCGGTTTAAATCACCAAATGGAATCATGTTGTGGCTTAAAGTCATCTTCACCACCTCATGTTATGCTCCAATCTTTTCCTGCCTTTGCCAAGCGCTGTTTTTGCGCTTTGACCTTCCCGTAAGCCTGCGCCTGATCGCATAAAGTAGTTCCTTTCGGTCTGCTAGCGCTCGTTCCCCCTTTGGGATCAAAGCTTTACGTATGGTTGGGCTGGGCTGATAACACCCTTAGATACTTACCTAAGATGCCTATCCTGAAACGAATCCACTTCACGGATGTCTCTATGACCCCCGAACAAGCGATAGCCCTTGCAGAAATCCTTCCGGATACTCCAAGTTTAGCTCACGTGAACCTGATGGAAAATCCAAAATTAGCTGCGTTGGCCGATGCAAAGGATGAAGCCAACCAAGAGGAAGCATGCGCTCTATACGCGTCGCTCATGGCCGCAGTCCGGGTCTCCAAGACAATTGTTTGCATTGACATTGAAGTGCCATCCAATGATTCAAGTGAGATCGTTAAAGCATTGGCCAAGCAAGTGGTGGCTTACTGCTTGTGGAATATGGAGCATGGCCCGGTAGCTGAGATTAGCCCGGCGGTAGCAACGCCAGAATCTGATGATGGTGATAATAAAGAGGTAGCCATGCCGGAGGTACTGCTACATCTGGTGGGACGTGTCGAGGGACTCAAAGAGAGTCACGAAGACGACGACTACGAGCCTGCCCCTGACGAAGATTATATGATCGGAGGAACCGGTGTGGTCAAGGCATTAGGTATATGCTTACGGAACCGTGGCAACGATTCTAGGCGGCCGTCGATGGATCGCACATTTTCGGACAGGTCAGAACCAGGAAGTGGGACGGCAGCGCCGAGAACCCGCGTTAGCGGTGGCAAAGCCAAGCAGATGTCCAAAAACCTGTTGGGGAGCGCGCGGAAGATACGAGCACGACTGCAACCTGCACTGGTCAAGGAGGCGAGAACAGGTGATCGGAATAATTATCGTAAGCATCACTATCAGAGCCCGCGGGCTGTGTCCCCCCTAGACTGCAATGATGCTGACAGACCCGCAGAACGTCTCCTCTTCCTTGACCAGACCCTGAAAGGCATGATCAAGCGGTTTGAAGACGAGTTCCCAGAGACGCGTCTCCCAACCGCAAACGCCTCGTCATCCTCAACCGATCTAACCAACAGCGGCGACGCTCAGGGCTCTGACACTGAACAAGCCTTAGTTGACACTAACGAAGGGCACCTCTCAGATGATGAGTTCGTCGTGCGACCCGTCCTCTCGCGCCACAACTCGGACGTATCCATAGCCTCGAAAGCCCTATCCCAGGAAGAAGGTCGGATGCACCGCTTCAACCAGAAGTTCCGCCGCGACATCCTCATGTCAGACGGCTCGGGCGAGGCCAACGGCCCAACAGACCAGGATGAATACTCGATGCACCTCCAAGCGTTACGCTCGATGCTGGAAGACCTAGGCGGGGAGCAGATCCGGGCGAAGCTGGAGCGCGAAGGGCAAGACGCAGTGCTGGACGAGCTGCGCAACGAGGCGTCGTCGCTGCGCAAGCAGATCATCGACGCCGACCCCGAGGGCTGGAAGAAGTTCGTCGAGAGCCAGGAGGCGGCGCAGATGAACCTCAAAGCCGAGGTCAGGGGACCGGAGCGCGAATATTCTTAATAATTATAATGAAAATCCCCCCTGCCTGCCTCCCTCCCTTCGTTCACTCCACTCCCTGCCTCGACTCTGTTGTACGATAAGAAAAGAAAGTCGAAAGTCGATTCCAGAGGTCTGTCTGTTTGTCTCGTGTCTATGATGTATCAACTTGTATAGTATAATAAGGTACCTTAGGTAGGTAGGTAGGTAGTCTCGATCAATGATCCTCACGAGATGAGCAAAACAAACAATTAAACAATCAATCAAATAAAACCCATCCCAAGCCAAGCCAAGCCATGTCAAATCTCCGGACCTGAATATAAAAACACAAGTAAATAATTAATCCCTCCGAAACAAATTAAAACCCTCTATATTCTTTCTTTCTCTCTCTCTCCCTGGAGGAGGAGGAAGGAGGAGGAGGAAGGAGGAGGAGGAGAGTTTTGCTTTGTTTTGTTTGTTGATGACTTGATGGCTTGGTGACTTGGTGGCTTGATGACTTAAAGAGATATGTATGTACTTTACATATAAGGTACATACATATATGTACATAATTCACCTAAACCAAAACCAAAACCAAAACCAACCCAAATTACCTCTTCCATTTTTTAATAAAAAAGAAAGAAAGTGTTGCAAGAAACCACTGGCCTGATCACGTGGGGTTAGTAGTCACGGGACTAGGAGGTCCGGAGCCTTAAGTCTAACCTAATCAGGGTTAGCAACTTGCCAAAAGTTAGTTGTTTACTATTACTATACAGGCACTCTATATAATTACTTCTTACTTAGTTAATTTAATTTATAGTTCTTACGATATAACGATAGATCGAATATCCTGTATAATATAGTAGTAATACTATTTGATCTCTTCTAATACTAAATTCGAATTTAAATCGTTTAATCTATTAATTTATTAAGATTTACGGTAAGGCCTGTTTTTAATTATAGCGCGCCTAAAGATCGAACTAAGCTCTAGACTAGATTATAGAGCCTAAGGGATAATAGCTATATTATAAAACCCTAGACTAATTACGATATCTAACTTAACTACGCTTGTAAGTAGTAAGAGGCTATAAGGTAAGAGTAACTACTATACCTAGAAATCTAATATATTTAATATATTAGAAGCTAATAGACTTAACAGATATATATCTAAGAACTACTCTATTCTAAAGGTTATTAAGTATAGTAACACTAAAGCTATAAAAGAGAAACAAGAATAATATAGTAAATAAAGAGCTAGTAATATAGTAACGCGCTAGGTTATTAAGGAGAATATCTCGTTAGTTCTTATACTTAATCTTATAGCTAAAGTAGACTTAGTAAAGGCTATATAGACTAAGCTAGCTAATTACTATAAGGGCAAAGGGTTTACTTAATAGTACTAAGTAGTAGATAAGTTCTAGTTACTTAGATATAAGGATTATAATAATATAGAAAAGTTTATTAACGCCTTTATAACTCGACTTAAACAAGCTACTTAACTAGATATAGTACTTAAGAGCGACTACCTGTACGCTATTATCTTTATTAATTAACTTATAAAAGCCTTTCCTTAATAAGCTAAGGGGTACTAATCTCTTTAAAACCTATAAAAGAGTAGTAAAAAGAGTACCTTATTACTTAATACGTTAATTATAGAGATTAAAGACAAAGCTTAGGTAAAGGATAGTAGATTAGTACTATTATTAGTATTACTATATAGTAGTAAGCCGGATAATAAGGATAAAGAAAAGGGTAAGGACAAGAATAAGAATAAGAAGAAACTTAAGAAGAAGTAGTACTACTACTATAGTAAGCTTTACGTTATAAAGGATAAAGACAACTATTAGACTACATTCCTAGAGAAGCGTCTAAAGAAAGACTAAAAGGACTCTTTAAAGAGTACTATATTACTCTATATAGTAGGTAATTAGTAGCCGTAGATTAATAGTATACTAGGCCTAAAGACGTTAAAGGTAGCGCTTAGATTAGCTACTTAAAAGGAGTTTTAAAAGAGGAACTAGTATCTAGATATAAGGGTAACTTACTATATATATAATAATAAGTTAATCTTTTATAGCTTTAAAGTAACTAAGTAGTTATAACCTGTTCTAATAAGCGCTAGGTTAATCTAACTAGAGGGTTATAGTAATATTGTTCTAAAGGCTAAGGTAAAGGGCGATTAGTATTATAAACTATAGCTAGAGAGAGTTTTGTTTATCCTAACCTTTCTTATTAATCTCTTATTAGGTATTAAGCTATTACGCTATAGTAGATCTATTATAAAGAGAGCCCTTTTAGATAAAGAAGGAGAGACGCTTATACTCTATAAGGTTAACGATATAAGAGTATATCTATAGTTAGATATACCTAGCTACTATATTATAGTACTACTAGCTACTCTTTAATAAGGTAAACTAGGTATTAAACTATAGTACAAGAGATTAGAGTACCTAGACTTTAATAACGTCTAAAAGACTATAGAAATCACTACTAGTATATAGATTATAAATAAGCCTATAGATACAGATCTTAGTATTATAGTTTTATATAAGCCTTATAAGCTATCTAAGCTACTATACTTAGTTAGACGCTTTATTAAATACCGGCCTACTATTATACTCTAAGAGGTAAGTATAGACGTAGTAGAGATTACTCTTATTAGATTCTGTAGTAAGCGTTATGCTATAATTATAATAGACGTAGCTACACGCGCTAAATAAGGCTACCCTTATAAGAAGAAAGAAGAGGCTTATAGTAGTAGTAACATCTTCCTCTATTAAATACCTATACTAGGTACTATAAGAGTTTAATCTAAGTTTTAGTGTACATATAGTTCTACAAGAGGGAAAGAAAATAAAACCCTCTTACTAAGGCGCTGTTATATTACCGGTCCTTTTGTTGTGTCCTTATCTCCTCTATATAAGCCTGTAGATATCGCTATAGATATAGCACGCCTTATGTACACTAGACTACTCCCGGTACTCTACTTTGTTCTTAGAATAGAAATAAGAAATACTTAGTATCGCTAGAGAGCGTCTAGTGCTAGAGGCCTGCCTATTAGCCTATAATATTACTTTATAAATTTCTATAGTAATACTAAGTAATTATCGGCCTAAGTAGATTCTAGGTACTTCTAGCCTATTTCGACCGTCCCTAGTAGGTTCCCCTAGAGGCACTAGTAGGTACGCTATCGTACGACAATAGAAGTTAAAGAGGGCACTTAAAGGAGTGTTTTAAGGTCCTTTTAATAAGTATAGTAGCTATTGTTTTCTAAAAATGCCGCTCCTTAAAGGAGAGATGTTTTTCTTAAAAGAGGCTTATAATAAGATCCTTAGCTTTATTAATATAACAGAGCATTAGTTTACTCTCTTTAAGATCCTTATATTAATAGTTAATAGTAGTAACAAATATAGTAGTATTACGTTAACTAGCGTCTATAAGGTAAAGGGGATTTAAGTTAAAGAGACTATACTATATACTCTTAAGTAACTAAGCGTGTCTAAGATTATAAACAAGATTATAGCTAGACAGCTATAATCTACTATAATTAACTAGAACGTCCTTAAAGAGCTATAGCTAGAGTTACTAAAAGAGATAATTTATGTTATTAATAAAATAGCTATATTAGCTATTAAGGGCAAAACCTTATATTAAGCCTTTATAGATTAGCTATACCTAAATCAAGATAACAAGCCGTCTATAGCTTACTTATAAGTACTTAGCTATAAGGTATATATTTATATTCTAGATTAGAGACAAGTTAAGTTAGGAAAGTTTAATAAGCGTACTAAAAAAAGTATCCTTCTTAGTTTTAAAGGCTACTAAATATACCGCTATTACGTACCCTTAAGAACTTATAAGATCGTTAGATTATTAAACGTAAGATTTAATAAAAAAGGTTTTGTATTAAAAGTATTAGATAATAAGATATAGTTACTACTAACTAAACCGCGCCTACTAACTAATCTACTTATAGATTTAATAAACACTAAAGGTAAAGATAAAGCTAAAGATTAAGAGCTAGCTAAAGATTAAGATCTAGCTAAAGTAGCTAAAATAGCTAAGAAACCGCCCCTTACTACTACTAATGTTAATCTACTAGCTAATACTAACTCTACTATAGAACAGATCTAAGATTAGTCGACTACTACCTTACCTAATTTAGTAGCTATTAAGCGTAGCTAAGGGCGCCTAAAAGGCTTAAAGAATAAGCTAAAGACAATAGCTTAAGCTCTAGCTTAAGCTTAAGATTCTATGTGTTCTATTAACCTTAAATCTACTTAAGTAACTTAATCCTAATTACGTTATATAACTAAAGAAGAGGATATAAGAGATAATACTAAGTAGAGGGTATAGTAATTAGCTTATTTAGCTATAGCTATAGTGTTCTACACTACTTACTAGACTATAGTTAAAGACAATCTAGAGAACGTTTTAATTACATATAAAGAGGCCGTTAGTAGTACTAAATCTAAGTAGTAAAAGAAGGCTATTTAGAACAAGCTTAACTTACTTATAAAGAATAATATATAGACTCTAGTTAAGAGATTAAGCCTTTAAAAGAGAACTAAGGTTCTAGGTAATAAGTAGGTATTTAAAAAGAAAACTAGCGTTAATAGCTCTATAATCCGTTATAAGGTACGCTAGGTAGTTAAGAGATATAAGTAGTGTTATAGACGTGATTATAATTAAACTTACACTAGTATAGCTAAAGGTATAACTTAGAAGGTAATCCTAGCCCTAGTAGCTAAAAAAGATTAAGAAGTAGAATAAATAGACTATGTTATAGCGTTCTTAAACAAGAAAGCTAATAAGAATATATATATTAAACTTCTAACTAGGTCTAGTAAGAGTAATACTTACGTCTATAAACTTAATAAGGCCTTATATAGTCTAAAGTAGGCTTTATAGTTATAGTAGCTAAAGCTATACTAAGTACTTATTAAGCTAGGTTTTAAGCCCTTAATAACTAATAATTATATATACTAATACTCTGTTAAGTGTATTTCTATAGAGTAAAAGAGGCAAGAGTTAATAGACAGTCGTAGTATATTTAAAGGTATATTACTACTTTAACTATAGACTAATCTCTAAACCTCTTTCTTTTTACCTCTCTCTCCTTTATTCTTATACTCCTTAACGCCTACTATTACTTTAGTCGTAGTACGTAGTTACCTTATACTTAATTTTTAAGCTATTATAGTCTTACGTATTAGTATACCTAATATAGTATCTTCTCTTTTTAGCTTTTGTCCTTAGAAGCTTATAAGTAGCTATTAGATTATAAGAAGGCCGCG